TTAGTATCCAGTGATGTTAAAAGTGAGAAATTTAACGGCAAATTCTAAAAAAAGATTTGCACAAAAATATATTTTATTTTTTTACCTGTATTTGAAAAGAATCGCTGCTGACAACTGGCCCTGCAGTACCTTTTGTGCCTTTTTGACCCTACAGAAAAGAACCCTTTTCAGCCAATAATTTCTTCAAAATGCTTTTGTTAAAAAGAATGTTGGGAAAGCGGAACCAAAATTGAAAGTTTTTTTTTTTTGATATTTGAGTACAACTTATTATCTTTTTTCTAATTATCTTACACTTTTTTAGAAAATGAGCTCAGAAAGACCCAAATTTGTAATTTACTAAATTATTACAACAATAGTAAAGCAGATTACGAACATCTTTGTTTTGTTTTTTGTTCAGGTCAAACAAAAATTCTCTGTGGGTTTCTTGGCGTACAATTTAATGTTTTCAAAACCAACAAACAAATCCAAACATTCAAGAATATTCTTCGCATGATTCTTTAACACTAACGATAATTTGCAAAAAAAAGCCACTGTATGATTTCCAAAAATAATCCCATATTTGCTCTATTAGTAGCTACTGAGCTTACAGAGGTTTGTCTACTACTGACAAAATAAGTCATATTTTTAGTAATCCAACATACAATAATGTAATTGTATTAGAGCAAATACAGTAAATAAAAAAATACTGAACATTTTAGGATCTGTAGAAAAATCTATTGTTGGGGTCTGGCTATTATCATCAGTCTTAGCTCGCATTGAAGCAATATCCAATTTTCAAATACAACTCATCATAAAGAGAAGACATTCACTAAAAGCAGGCAACTACAGGTAAACATCACACTACACTAGCAAGCAAATACACACAAATATATTTACAAATAAAACATCAAAGACAAATAACCAAGGGATTGTGAGTTCTATTTTTATGTAATCAGCCACGTTTATGATCACGCCAAGATATTCGCAACTGATGTACATGAAGAATTCAACAGTCGTAAGTGTCCAATACGTAAAGTAGAATTCTACTACTATTATAGTGGCAATACCAATAAATTTACACACACGATTATTGTCCTCTGATGTTATAATATACTGAATATACTCACAGGTGGGCCCTCAGGTCCTGGTAATCCTGGTTCACCCTATTGTACAAGAATAAAATTAATGTGGAGATAGAAAAATTAGGTTTTGCTGATATCTCTATTTTTATCATTAATAATCACCCAGTATGCAAATATTGTTTTTCAGAATGTCTGTTTTGAAATTCTGATACATTGATGGGTGGGCAGGTTAGCGAGAGGGGGGGGGGGCTCACCATGTGTTCCCGATTCTTACTGTTTCTTTGAGTGCAGCGAGGTTGATCAGTGTGTGTCAACAATTTCTCTGTTACTTACAGTTACCTTGTATGCTTTCGTGTAACACGGTGAGCACCTTACTTATTGCCAAATAAACTGTTTTTATAACTAGTCAATGTGTGGCCATAAATAAGGCTTACATAAAATTTTAAATATCAAGAAACGAAATATCTAAATTGTCAACAACAAAAAAATGTTTTTTAAAAAATTTTGATAATTTTGTGAGTAGCTTCTGTTGATTCTTACAATAAAGACACTTCTTTGGATAGCAATTTATAGCGATTAGTGGAATAGTTTGTTAACTATTAACATTCCAAATAAAACAATTTATTTCATTAAACTGGAAATCAATCAGTCTAATCAACAAATAAAAAGTAATACAAATTTGCAAAATTACCGGAAGACCTTGTTCGCCTGGCAAACCAATACCACCCTGCATAATAAATAAATAAATAGATGTTTACATCATTTTCATAACAATCACCAGGCCAGAGAAAAGAAAAGAGGTATACAATGTGCAATAATGTCTTAACCAAGTTGAAAAGAATAAAATAAATGCTTTCATAAACTTTAAAATAAGGAATAATTATTCAGACATGACCACTGTAATGTATCCACACAAGAAACACAAGATCAAGGCAGTAACAGGTTTATTTTGGTTACGGAGCTTACAAACATGGCGGGCATCTCAAGGCGCAGACGAAACTCATTAAGGGGGCGTCTCGAATGACCAACTATGATAAGGTCAAGGGTCATCTCACAAATACAATGAAAAGTGAATATACTACAACCACCTGCTTGATTTGATCGATAGGAAGAATGTTTTGTGAACAAAAAACACATTCAATGATTTTATTTGTTTATGACTGCATGACAGTGAAGATGTCACAAGCAACTTACTGGCATTCCCGGGGGACCAGGAACTCCCTGAAACAAGCAAAAACATTGCATTAGATTTATATCAATCAAATTTTGTGATTGTATTGATTCTTCAACAGAACAATGTCATGACATAATCAGACAGCATATGAAGGCAGATCAGCCAATACAAGACTTCCTATCCTTGGTGTGTTTGCATCGTATATTATGTAATAGAACAAATATACGGTATTTGTTGTTGCCAAAATTATGATATAAACATGCCAAAAAAAAACTCATTGCATCTAATAAAGGAGATAACCTTGCTTGTTTATTTTTAAACCTTTCCAGACATCTAGTGCATTCTGTGACGTCATTGGTTGAAACTAGATTTAATTAATGCACATATGAAACTCATGGGGGACAAGACCATCGCTATGCACGAATATGAAAGTTGCATAACTAAATATTAATCTTTGTGCATAACTAAATATTAATCTTTGTCCAACTCACCGGTTCACCATCGGTGCCATTAAATCCTGGTTCACCTGATTCACCAGGTACTCCTGGAAGGCCGTTTATTCCATCTGCACCTTTTGGACCTGGTGGTCCAGGTAACCCCGGCATTCCTGGTTCTCCCTGAAAGTCAAGCAGCATTAAATCAAATCTCAAAATTGTTTTCCCTGTCTGTAATGTTGGTTTTTGTAGAGAACTTTTGGATCAACTCTCTTACTACTCTTATTAAAGGCACAAAGATTAGATTTTACCTTTATAATAATAGTTTCTGTTGCCGGTGAAGCACCTTCTAAACTTCCTACACCTGGTGGACCCTAAACACAAACAGAGAAAGAAAAACATCAAATATTAGAGGGCGATAAGTCATCAACGAACGATGCTTGTCTTGCCACATTCTGTCTGGTATGGGACTCATATTGACGTACACAGCAAGGGTAAAATACATTATTTGTTTACATGTTTACAACCACCTGCCCTTTAAAATGATTCCTAAACCTGAATATATCCAAGTAATGTGCAATAGTTAACAGAATTGCCCAGAATCAATGCATTTTCCAAGGTCGTCAAAATATACACCTAGCGCGAAATTCAACTAAATTGATTGACCATGCTTGCCAACACCATTTGTGTTTTGTCATCAGATGTGCATTGGCCGATGGCTGATAGCAATCATGTTCACAGTGTGTCAAAGCATTACTGTAAAAGGTCCCAGAAATTTGAAAATGTACATCAAATGTAGGCTAATAATAAATTGCACAAAATCAGTGTATTAATTACCAATATTTTATAATCACTCGTTAGAAGTAATGACTGTATCAGTGCCTGAGGTAACGTAACCATACATGTAGTGACACCTGTGACAAAATTATCCACATTTTTGTCCATATATCTCTGTAGGTACATGTATGACTTACCATAGGACCCGGGATTCCTGGTAATCCTGGCTGTCCTGGCTCACCCTGGAAATATCAAAGATGGATATATTTTTATAGAAATAAAAGTCGCATTGCTCAATGTTAATCAATAAAGCTTCATACAAGTAATCCTAATGTTTGTTTTTTGTATTTTTGTAAATATAGATTGTCTTCTTCTACATGTATACAAAGTCAGGGAGAGCACATATCTTTTGTTCAGATAAACATATTACATATACTTTATGTAGATTACAGAGTTGTATACATGTTACTCTATGTGGGAGTAAAACACAACCCATTCTATTAGAAAATTTCTTGGAAACTGAAGTTAATAAAACAATGTGGCAGAGAAAAGAAGGGGGGGGGAGGTCTTTGTAAAGAAACAGCAGTGTAAAGATGTTTGCCCAATACAAGATAAGTTACAATGTGGATATGCCTGAACATTCTGTTCAATACCATGTTTGGGTAACTGTATTGATCAAATTTGATATTATGAATAAGACTGATTTCAGAGAGTACACGAGAAGAGCAAACTGTTGTCATTTAGTCTACAGCTTCTGTTTATTATGAATAACAGCCAAATTTATGTATTTATTTATTTATTCACCAGATAAAAAGTAAATTAAACAACATTTCAAATAATAATAATACAATAGCAGAGTAGTAAATATTAAAATACATAATAATTGTTATGATAATCATAATTGTAATAAAAATAATCTGGTGTTGGACACGGAAATAGTTTCTAGTTTGTTTTACACGTACAATTCCTAACCCTAAATATCCTTGCTGGCTGTGCTTGTGTTCAGTGCAAACTAGGATAACTTTTTACATGTACAGGACGTGCTGATATTTTTGATCTTTTGAGATTTTTAATAACTCTTTCACAAACACCAAAAAGTTTCCTGCATTTTTCAACTTAGATATTATAGACAAACCATTACAATACCTTTTGTCCTTGCATTCCAATACCAGGTTCTCCCTAAAAAAAGAAAAAAAAAAAAATGCACTATATTTTATTTCACTGGAAACTTAAATGAACACTCGCAACAAACAAAATGAACAAATAATTATTTTTCTACTTTAAAGAAACGGATGCAGGTGCAGTAATACAACACAAAAATTCTGTAAACTTACCACATTACCCTTCATACCATTTTGTCCTGGATCACCCTGTCAAAAAATGGAACAGTCCACAAACAAAGGTCAATTGAAATGGTGCATTTTAATAATACAATTATGCATATTTAATAAACTTTTCACATTATACCTACCATAATTAACAAATTAAGACCACACCAAGCACATGACAATTAGATACAATGTAACATATAATGTAATTGTTTGTGTAAAATTTGTGATAATTATTCATGGATTTGGGACATGAGACCAAGCCATGTTTGAATGAGACACACTAAAGACTAAATGAAATGTAACATGGTGAAAAAAAACAGTTGCAATGAAGACAGCGAGAAAGTAGATGACTTCATGCAATGATTTCCATACCTTGGTTACTTAAATAATAGACAGAAGGGTAGTGGCATGACGACAAGACAGTAGCAAAGAGCTTTTATTTAAAATCAGATATTGTATTAAATTTGGTTTCCTGGTCTGTCTCAAACCAAAATGGCTGACATTCAAGAATTCCAAGACACTTTAAATTATCACAATTGAATTTTTCATTTAAGTAATTCAATACATATACAATACAGTAAAACTATAAGTGCTTTTTACAAACAATAATAACACTACAGTGGACTCCATGCAACACACATACACACACACACACACACACACAAACAGGAGAAGGAAGCAAGCAAGGAAATTACAAACAAACAAACAAATCAGCCCATACCGGTTCACCTTTCAGGCCATCTAAACCAATAGGCCCCTAAAAATTCAAATAAATGACCAGAAATTAAAAAAAAAATAAAAAAAAATAAAAAAACACCAGAAGTATAGAGTACCCTTTTATGTTACGAAACAAGAAAAATAATTTTTTAAAAGAGAAGCATGCAGTTTGGACAAATTTATATATCGCATGTAGAAGGCAGTTTAATACTAAGAAGTTTTAGTTTTGCTTTTCAATTGTGCAAGTAAATTAAGAAGTGATGGCAGCTCTTTGCTACTTGTGCATTAACGAGCAAGCAAAAGAAGTACCTCTGTCAAATAAAAACAAAAATTATGCAGCAAATATGTGGGCATAAAAGTCACACATTCAAACGTTAATCTTAAACACAAACAGTAATACTACAAAAAACTGCTAAAACAAACTTGATCACACAGAATTTTAATCAAGTTTTCACACTGCAAATAAAAACCAACATTTACAATCATGTTAAAACAAAGAAAAAAAAAACTGAAAAATAAAAAAAATGTAAATTAGAATAATATCTTATAATAATCATAAACTGGAGTATATAGTGTAAGGTGCCACTATAAGGAGACAATGGGTAAAATAAATAGAAAGGAGAATAGAAAAAAAAAAAAAATAAATATATAAATTTATCAATATAGAGAGATAATATGTTAAGTTTCTTTACCTTGTTAATGCTTAGTGCAGGGAATAAAAGCATGAGTAAAAGGGGCACTGAATAGTCCCATGAATGATCTATGTAAGTTTTTTTTTATACACAAGAAAAACATGCATGTTGATTACCATGGCAACCATGTTGGCATTGGAAAACTTAGTTGCCATTGCAACTGGCTTCCAAATTTCTCGCAACACACAATTTTAAAAAAACACACAGGAAAAAATGAATTTTGGAAATGTTTCAATTTGTGAGCTTTCATTTTATTATTTACTGAGAATAGAAAACACGTTTAATCATTTGGTTTAATAATACTAGTTATTAATAGAAACAAGCTAAAAAAGATACATGTCAAGTTTAAAGTCTGACCAACAATGAATAAAATAAAAAAAAATTATTACAAGTGCAGATTTAAAGATGCCTGTTAAAGGTTAACTACTGCTACATATACTCTAGAATTGTTTTAATTGGCATGTAAGGAAGTAAATCAAAATTATTCCATGGGTTGTCATACTTATCAATATGCCACCTCTGATTGGCTAATGCAATACTCAGGCCATCTATTCTTAACCCTTTGATTGTATGATTTTTTTCTCAAATTTGTGTATGCTGTAAAAAATGTTCACATTTTTGCTAATTTTCGTCACACTTGAAAAAATACGGAAATAATTATGTGGTTTTATTTCGTAGCGACCAAAGGGTTAAAGGTCAACATGCATGGGGACTTCTAATCATGCATTACGTTTTTTTTTTGGAATCCTACACGTGCAATGTCATTTTAATGCTCAACGTGCATATTCCAATCATCGTCAAAGTTTGTGCGTTTACAGTTTTAACAAATAGTTGGTCAAACTTTTGAAGTCGGGATAAAAACAGGGAGGAGAATGCATGTTTCCTTTGACGAACCGGAAAACCTGGAAATCCACGTGCTCCTCTCCGTCCCTATAAATGGAAAAACAAAACAAAGTGTATTAATAAACTAATGGAGAATCATCGGTAAAAGTTGTTTAATTGATGACTGTCATATTATAGGAGTTTACCAAGTTAGCTTTACAATAGATAAGAGAATAAAATCTGCACAGTTAGAACAAATTGGTGAATTCTCGTTGTTTTTTAGGACTTTCAATATATATTAATTTTCACTACCCACAGCAAGCTTTGATTAGCAATACCGTAAAATATTTTATTTTAACTGAGCAGACATTTTGGGTGTTTTGTATGGAATTTATTTTCACTGATTTTTGACAAGTTGAAGGTAAAATATAGGATTTTATTTTCACTGAATCATTCCTTAAGTGAAAATAGTGAAAATAAATTCCAGTTATGAATACTCATAGCTAACTTTAACTACCAATACTAGTTCTGACTACCCATAGCCAATACTAGTTTTGATAATCCATTGCAAGCTTTGACCACCCACAGTTGTTTAGATTACCCATAGCTGGTTTTGACTACTCATAGTCAGATTTGACTACATTTCTGAAAACTTACTCTCATTCCAGGGGGTCCTTCTGGGTCACCCTATAAATTAGAAGAAGCACAAGTTTAATTTTAAAGGGCAGAATGTTTGAGTATTTAAAATTAGCAAATTCAAGGCACGCTTACAGAAAACACAATTTGTTAGAAAACAATCCACAATTGCAGTATTTATTTTCCAACACCTACTGCAATGGAGTTAATAATGCAAATGTTTAGGTGCAACTTTAAGACGAAGAAGAATTAATTTAAAATTTATAAATATTGATCAGTGACTTGCACTTCCACCCTTTGCCCGCAGAGACAATTTTTCACAAAAAACTCTGCATAATATAGTTTGATCAAGGCCCGAGGGAAATTTTGTTGATTTCGGTAAAAAATTTATAAATATACAAAAAAAAATATACATAAAGATGTGCAAATCGTTGTGCCAACATGCTAGTAGGACAAATAATGATGTTGTCAGGATTAAAAAACACACAATGAGTAAGGATTTTATTGGCAGAAAGAAAATACCAGATTTAAAAAATTCCTAACTCCTGTGCAACTTAACTTTATAGTCTGGAGTAGACATAACTGTCGAATATCGAAACATAAAAATTAAACAACTTCTCCAAGGAAAATAAATAAGTACAGGTCTCCAACAGAAGTGCAGTTTCATTTGTTGTTTACTGGCTCATTAATATGTGACATATTTTTACCCGAGATACATCGTTGTCATTTACGTAAGCGAATACACTACTAATAGAGCAGGAATAAACAGTTTGTATCCGAGTATTGATAAAGAAAATTCTGAATATTATTTGCTAAAATAAACAAAAGATTGCAGCATGAGAGTACTCTAGATAGAACAAGATACTTAACATCACAGTTTGGCTATAATACTTTTTTTTCTTCATATACTTGAATAATTTTGCAAACTTTTTGAATTTGAATGAAAAAATGAATAAAATTATAAGAATGTTTCGGGATTTGAAAAAATAGAAGGTTGAATACCTTTTGTCCTTTCTGTCCGGTCAACCCAATGGTTCCCTGAATCACAACAAATAAAAGAGTTCAGATCTCAATCGTATTAAATTATCAAAATATGAAACATATTAAAAAGGGATATTTGATCAATAACCGTTATTTATATGTGAAAAATTGTTAAATAGATGAGAACTTAAATGATCTGAGAGTAACAACATAATACGTCTAAAATGAAATAGTCATCTTAAAGAACAGAACACAAAATGAAAAATATGACGGTGAAGATGGAATAAAAAGACAGGAACAAACCTTTTTGCCTTTCTTTCCACGATCACCTTTCTCACCCTGGTTGGAGTAAAGAAGTTACAACAAGCAAACAACAGATAACAAAGTGGGAGCTTTACTATATAAATGAATTGTTTAATAAGATATTTTTTTACCTTAACATGAAAAAAAAAAATTATTTTGAGTTTTATTGATTGAACTGCATGGGAACTTTGAAAGCACTGGAGGAGAAGCAGTAACAAACACACATACCTAATGACTCAATAAGGGAGGAGCTTAGCAAAGCATGATGGGAAGCCAGAAAAATGGGAAGAACATATGGGAGATGAACACATGGCAGAATAAGGGTGACATAAGGAATATGGTAATGAGGATGAAGTTAGCAAGCATTTACCTAGTTGCCAAGCAACACATTGTTGCTTAGAAACCATATAATTTACCCACTGTCTCCTTGGTGACAATCTTACCAACACACTCCAGAAAAACAAAAAAATAGTGCAAAAGCAATAAAAAAAACTATGTACCGGAAATCCAGGATTGCCATCTTGTCCTGAAAATTGAAAGAAAAAAAAATTATTGGAAAAAAAAAATTTTGGAATGAATATGTGATGGGTATGTTTATTATAAATTAATTTAGATTGGATGAGACGAAAGGAGATATGAGCAAAAACATTGAAACTTCTTCTTCATTTAAAATAAATATAAATAAATATAAATTTATTTGGACTATTTCTTTATTAAGAACAAGACAACCATTTAGTAGGCTAATGTAATTTGAATGAGAAAGTCTATCTGATCTTTATTCTTGATGAGGAAAGGAGGACAAAGATCAGAAGAATTTTTGAAATCTTCAACACGTGTAAGTTTCATAGCAATCAGATTACCTTCACAAGCATGTCAAATACTGCAAAAATGGACCCTTGTTAAATTTGGCTGCAATTGTATGTAAATTCTAAAGAGTTAGCAAAAGTGCTGACAACCTACCTGGTATCAAATATTAATATTGCAAGTGATGTTATTTGCAAGTGCAACAAGCTGCAAAAAAGAGCTCTGTTTGATGATAACACAGTGCACTTGCATGAAAGTTCTTCTAAATGTCGCCCTCAAGTGTTCAGTTGAGTTCAATTTGATTTTGTTTTTATTTCCTGAGAGGAAGCCTGTTTTGTTTGCATTTCAAAAGACTCATTTTGCAAGTTCAAACTTGTGAAGTATCACAGTACAAAATGATAATTACACTACTAGTATATTAAGATTTCCCTAGATAAACGGCAGCCTCTCAGCTGAGATAGCTTCCTTGCTAGCAATGCACGTTTCAAATAAAGAACTGAAGATATCATTAGAAAATGAACAAATCTGAGAGTATATCTGAGATACCTATATAGAAAACATCTCAAAGTAATCATACTTGCGGTTTTTAACAATAATTTGAAAATATCACTTTTTACTAAAAATGACAAAGATATTCATCAAAATTAGAGAATTGAAGATATCATCACGAAAAGAACAAATCTCAGCGAGGTATATCTAAGGTACCTATATGTATAGTATCAAAGCAATCGCACTTTCAGTTTTTAACAATAATTTGAAAATATCACTTTTTACCAAAAATGACAAAAATATTCATCAAAATTAGTGAATTGAAGATACAACGAAGTGAACAAATCTGAGAGAGGTCTGCCCAAGGTACATATACACAAAGCATCAAAATAATAAGAATTGCAGTTTTCAAGAACAAGTCGAAAAAGTAAGAGGTTGACACGGACGATGAAGACGGACAATCACTCATACGATAAGCTCAGCTCGACAAAGTCAACAGCGGAGCTAAAAAAAATCAACTGATTGCATGCATAATTTAAAATATTACGTAATCTTTAATGATCAAAATAATATTAAAAACTACAGAGACAATGTGTCCTACGGTGACTACAGACTGTATGTTTAACTGGGTACCAAAGTGACAAACACTAGCTTGACATGTACACATGGTGTGGTGGTGGTGGTGGGCTGTGGGTGGAACATGACATCACAAAATGATGCAAGTTTGTGATCACATTAATGGAAAGAATGACACAACAACTGCAGGCATGTTATTACATCGGTGTACAATCTAAAACTTAAACTACGATCTTGATGTTACCATGGCAATCGCGCAACCCATATTCTGTCACGCTTATAGGTGCAGTAGAATTTTCATGGAGTTTATTCAGTCAAAGAATTATTATATAAATTTTAACAAGGCTACAACCAAATCTGATCAAAAATAAAATTGAACGCAGTCCAATTTTTGTGACACATAATTTCACATGTGTTATACAATAATTTTAAGAATTGTGCAGCTTCTTATTTTGATTATCATAACATTCATGACTACTTTACTTCATTTTGAGTAAACTTAACTATATCATATATTGTTGAGATATACACGTAAACTCCAAAGTTGAAATCAAGAGTAGTCACAGTAAAACAATATACTACTACTGCTTATAAGGTATAAATTATTGATGTCAATACCAATATTCCACTTTGCCAAATTCAATTATAAATTTGGAGGGTACCGAGTTGCCAAGGTGACTGTCACTAACACTTTTTAGACCACAAGTGAATGGTTATTAGCATATGCAAGTTAGTTACTGAGTCCATTTATCAAAGCCATTCTAGTTTAGTGTACACACCTGCAGACCCTGTGTTACCCTTTTTGCCACGCCTACCTCTCTCTCCTGCTGGTCCCGGCGGTCCTGGAGGTCCCTGCAATCCTGCTTTTCCTGGAGCTCCTGAGAAGAGAAAACATGAAGATTATAGCCAATTACAGAGCTCGAAATCCACAAAATCCATATCCTTCAAAGTATTCCAATATTTCCTTTATAATTTAAAGAACTTAAAATTAGGAGAACTAAGATTACCGAGCTTAAGCCCTGCCTCTGAAAGTCAAAATAAAATAAATATATTCATAATTTTGAAAAAAATCCTCATCAAAACAGAAACTAACCAATAGGAAATGATTTCAATTTAATTCAACTACAATGTAGCAGTTAATGTGGTTACAGCACGGTCTTATTTCATCTTATTTGTGAAACGTTTTAATACTGTTGTATTGTTTTTTTAGCTCAAGAGGTCGAGCAAGTAAGTAAAAATAATTTAGTAATAAAGCGTGTCCACCAAAAGTGTTGTCAGAATAAATTTATTCCACCTTCAATAAATTACCCACAGAATGAAATGAAACTTTCAACAATTCTCAAACTCTACATAAATCTGTGAATTTTTTTTTTTTTTTCTGACTGGCATTTTAAATTTCTTTTTAAAGAAGAGGAATATTCTTGTGTTCATGAAGAAAACTGCCCGACCACAAAGAACATGTTTTCATAAATTGAATCCAGCAGGCATAGATCTGTTTCTAGTGGCTGTAAAGGTCAAAGTGGAAGAAAGTAGTTCCGGGCACTATGAAACCATTGCTATCATCACCATTCATAACGTGGCAAAGTTCAATGAGTTGATCTTCTAAAATAATTCTTTAAGTACAACCAGACAAAAAAAATTACTCATTATTTCTCCAATAAAGATGACCTCTGCAAATTGGTAAATTATCGTAAAGTGATATATTTTGGTATGATTTATCCAAATATTCCAAAACATGGACGCCAAGAATGTTAATTGCAGCAGTATTAATTTCATAACAAAATAAATTCATACATACAGTCATTGACAACAACGATATATGGTTTGTACTAAGTTAGGATAATACCATAGCAATCAGATGATACTATTTTTTGCTTGTTACGTATCAGGCATCCAGTGAATTTTTAGTTGCCATTGTTTTGATCCAGATCAGTTCCCAGCACAGAAGTAGAAAATGCATGCAAAAACAAATCATTTATATCAGGTGACAACCGTATGATGCGATTCAAAATATACAGCTTTTTTTTTTTGTATGATGATCACTGACACTCCAACGCTTATTCTGATCATTAAATTTATTTCAAACCTGATGAAACTTGATCACGAGAGGAAATTTGCTTCCAAATAACAATTTTTAGACACTTAAGTGCAACCGGAAAAGTAGATCCATGTACTGAGATAGTAACTAGGGTAGAAAGAAACCATGGCTGACAGACAAGACTCTGAAGAACATAGTGATAGTGAAAACAAGGCATTCCAAAAATGTGTTTCACTACGCTTGTCACAAACTATCATAACTTCCAGACTTGAAATGTTTTGAGAGACTACATCACAGATTAATAATAATAAATGCATTAATGGAAACCACTAGCAACCATATGGAACACATAACACTAGATATGTGTCAGTCAGTTTACATTACCCATCATGCATTGCAGCAATGCAGAATAGATGCCAGCCCAAGAAATTAACTAAAGCTGCTGGGAGAAAGTATACTCTGTCATTTTTAAAAATGTTTAAGCTCACAGAATTGCAAAATAAAACATATACACTTTTTATCTAATAAACCAGCATTGTACTTTTTCGCATCAAAATATAGAAAATATGTTTTCTTTTTGCAAATTTAGATTTAAACTAAATAAAAAAATTTTGAACTTTTCATGTTGTTTCTGACAGGTTATACTTATATAGTATTTGAGGTTCAATTCTAGAAAACAAGAAGTAGTTTAACATATTTCATCATAAACTTGTCATGCTCAGCTTGTTATCATGAAATTTATTAATTTGAAATCTTTGATTCAATCAATGCATGAGCAAGATCTATTTCTATTGATTTAAAAAAAATTAACAGAAAGTTTAAAAACATTATCACAAAAAAAAATATTACTCTGCTACTAAAATGGTGATACTGGTAGTAGATCCATCTGGCTGAGTTAGGGTTACGGGGGGGGGGGGGGGGAGTGTGTGCAGAATTACATCTTATATCAAGGTAGAAGGTCAGATAAACGCATAATCAGATTCACTTGAATTTTCCAACGTTTTGACATGCACGTATTCCAACAACTAATAAATAAACTACGCTTAGATTTGTGAGCAATATTTTAGAGACAACCAACTGATTTGAAATCGCTTCTTCAGTGAGTACTAGAGGACTTGGATTGTTTAATGACATCACTACCAGTGTAGTTAACCTTCACATCATTGGGGTCAGCAGGAGTTGTATCGACTCAGCTTCTTAAGCGAGAAATGAGAAGTTTGTACTGCAATCATACTGCTTACTAAAATTAATTTGAAAAACCATTTTTTGTTTGTGTGAACTTTTTAAAGTGTTGTGTACAGGACTGATTATCGGCAGTATGCGCGGTTTAATGTGACACGAAATGAGAACATTGTACAGATGCTTCTCTGTTGAGTGCGAGTTTTCAAACAGAACAGTAGCAATTGCAATCATAGCTTACCCACAATTCTAGATTGATAGTAATTATTCTACAACTACCGTGTTAGAAAACTGAATATTCAGGAAATCCTGGAAAATTTACGGAAATTCAGGAAAAGTTACGGAAATCCGGGAAAAAGTTACAGAAATCCAGGAAAAGTAGCGGAAATCCTGTAACGAGTGGGAATGCATGTAACTTTCAATTGCCTGGCTAATTATAGACATAGTCCAGTCTGTCTGAACTTCTTGACCTCAAAACCACAAATAAATTAGATGATCTTCTGACAAACCGATGTGATGCCTTCTTTTTTCCTACACTATGTAGAGAATTATAGCTAGTATTGGAGACAGAGACAGTCTCCACTTGTACTTACAATAGACATCCCAATATGAATAATTGTTTAATAAATAAACATCAGATGTCGAGCTGACCTCACAAAAATCAAAACATTCCCATGATAATCCCAGTAGCATTTGGAGCCATATAAATTCTTAACTGAGAGAATGATTTAATACAATTATTTAAGTTGTACTTTGAGACGAAAAGTTTAGGCGACTTGTGGATTATTACATATATGTAAAATACGCAAATTATGTGAAATATTTAATGATCAGATTAATCTTTTTCAATCCATGGGCATTACAAATCATTAGTAAAAACTATCACTAACATCCGGTCAGTTGAAACTCACTGACATTTTGGAACACATGTCCTACTACTGTAGAATACTTTATTTTTGATTGGAATTAATTATCGCTATTTTCGCTGAAGGAATGATTCAGTGAAAATAAAATCTAGTTTATATACTGTTGTTTCTATATTTTACATTCAACTTGTCAAAAATCAGTGAAAATAAATTCCATACAAAAAAACCCAAAAAGACTATTTAGCGAAAATCAATTCCAGCTAAAATAAAGTATTTTACAGTATTTGCACATGTTGTATTATCCCCAAAGTGGCATTCGTTAGTGAATGAATAATTAATAAATTCACAGTACTATTTGATCTAAAAAAAAAAAAAACGGGGGAAAAAGTTTTTTTATGCATGACTAACATTCACAAAGTTCAAAAAAGTTAAAGGAGAATGACAGTTCTGTCATACAAATTGAAACCAACCATACTTGTATATTTATTTTCATACATGTTTTTATTTGAAAAGTGTATTTATTGACAGAGGTTGATTCCAGAGATCCAATCCAGCCTCTTTAGATGTCAATAGTGAAATATAGCTAATGTACTGACTGTAATTTGTCTTCTAAGTAAAACATTATTATAGTCTATCATACATACAACAGGCAACACTTAAGTCATATCTCAGCAGGAAAAGATCAGACTGCTGCTTATTGGTGGATGTGATCCGGAAAGCATGAATGCTGCCTATTTTGTTTGTAGTCTTACATTAAAAATTATAGTAATGACAATAACAACTTTAAAAACACAATATGTCAGGTTCCGGTTAGTAATAATGAGTGTGGTAACTTTCCTGGTCAAAAAACTCGAAATAGATAGGGCTTTGCTGACTCAACAACATTAACACCATGGAGATAACACATTGCACCCAGGGGACACCACATTGCAGTAAGGAAATGACACTATGCATTACGCTAACATCACAATATATAATTGAAATGACAATGCACTATGGGAATACCACAATGCAGTATGGGAAAGACACAATGCATTATGGGAACACATCAATGCACTGTGCGAACACTACAACGCATTATGAGAATACTACAATATACCATGGGAATACCACAATGCATTAAGGGAATGCCACAATGCACCATGGGAATACTGAAATGCCACATAGGAATACCACAATGCACCATGGGAATACTGAAATGCCACATAGGAATACCATAATGCATTGTGAGAATAACACAATACACCATGAGGATACTGCAGTACGGGAAAGACACAATGCATTATGCAATGCTCTGTGCGAACACCACAACACATTATGAGAATACTACAATGCACCATGGGAATACCACAATGCATTATAGGAATGCCACAATGCCATGGGAATACTGTAATGCCACATTGGAATACCACAATGCACCATGGAAATACTGAAATGCCCATAGGAATACCACAATGCATTGTGGGAATAACAATGCATTACGAGAACACTGCAATGCACAATGCAATATACCACACTGCAGCATTAGAATACCACAATGCACCATGGGAATACTGAAATGCCCATAGGAATACCACAGTGCACCATGGGAACACTGGAATGCCCAATGGGAATACCACAATGCACCATGGAATTGCCACAATGCAGTAATGAGATTACCTACATGAACCACAGAAAAACCACAATGCACCATGGGAATATCACAATATATGTATTAAAGTAGTGATAACTTGAGATCCAGAGTTTCTTCCTTCAATCTACCAGTCTTGGCAGTCCTGTATAAATGTTGATGATT